GTGAATGAATCGCCGTATTTTCCTCTACCCCAGCCGTCACCCTTTACAGGCGGCGTAGCAGCGAGTCGACGAGCCGGTCCGAAACGAGGCAGGTCGTGAGCGAGCTCGCGAACCACCTCGTCCTGGGCCGTTTCGCTCGACTTATTTGGCAAATCAGGCAAATCAGTTTCGGAGCGAGTATAGAGATTCTGTTCCAGGACGACTTTAGTCGTGGTGGCTTTCACTTCACGGCTATATGGGACCATATCCTAGAGTCTCAATGCACTCATGCCAAGCTAGCGACCAATGGCGACAGCGACTGTTCTGTAGGTTTTATTTGTATGAATTTTCTAGCTAACGCCGAAAATATATGGAAGTACAATTAATACAATTTTTCTTGTGGTCCAGTGTTTTGCATTAGAAAAAATTTTCAGCGCTGCCTTTTCGAGAGATCACTGAGACTTCCAGAACTCCCAGAAATGGTTTTTCCAAAAAATACCCTTACTGTCGACTTCACGCGGTTCCCAGGTTTGGTTTTATATTCAATTCTTACATAATTACTGACCTGCGCTTTACTTCTTGGAACACCGCAATCCATCTATAAAATGTTTGAAGTGCAAAGTTGCTTACTACTACCCTATACTCTTAATTGTATTATCTCTTGTAGGAATAGGAGCGAGATTACCCAGGCTATAATGGCATTTCTAGGAACATGCTTGCTTTCTTACATTTTTTTGCAAAGAGAAAAGAGCTACTACGAAGAGCTAAAATATCAGTGTCGTGGGTACCATTGCTTCGCATGTTTTTTCGCTCTTGTGCTTCTTGGGCACGTCAATTTCACATTCATACCTTGGCCCCTCCTGTGCCAGCGCGTCAAAGGCAGCGTCCGGGCAAAATTCTGAAGAAGAAATTTTTTGCCCGGACCTATCCTTCCCACTGGGTGAGAAACGCATCTTGGTGAGCACGAATTTGTCAAAAGTGGGCTATTTCCCGCGCTAAGGTTTAAGGTAGTGTCTCAACAGAGTTAGGGCCCGAAATTTTTGAGAATCACAAGTCTTGCCAACCTTGTAAAACCCTATAAGGGCTATCCAAGTACCGTAATCTCACGCGTACACGGGAAATAGCCCAAGGTGCTTGACCCAGGTTTTGCGACCCTATGTCTTGACTGCGTGCGAACGCGCACCCTGGCTTGCAGTCTGAAATCGACTGAAGGTCAGGCACGCTGGCACCGCCCGCTTCAAGACGTAGCTTAGCGGTTCTCTAGACTGTTGCATTGCCATTGCAGGAGCTTTGTCACGATTTGCTCCATTGCAACCTACGTTTTTCTCGTTATCGCATACTTACCCAATGCTGCCTTCAAAGAAAGCAAAGCCATTGTGGCGGTCTCTATGCGGAGAATCACAGAACACAGACTACAAATATTTATTCGTGGATATAACCGCTGATCACAGCTACTAGGCTTCTAGAATTTGCAATTGAGTGCCTGCAAATCTTCTGCTAAGATGGATTATGCTGCATCAACCAACCAGTGAATTCGCAATAATTTGGTTTTAACAATAAGAACAAAAACAGGAAGGGCGGGAATGGAGAAGGGATTTTCTTCCTTGTGATCCGTACTCAATTTGTCTTGAGATGTCTAGAGAAATTGAGGTTAGATTTCGCAATGAGAAGAGTATGTGAAAAATTATTGCTCGTTCATCATCCTTCCCAAAATTGATCGGTAACTTTTAGTTGGGGAAAAGTACACACTTGCAACAGAATAAATCTGTCAATGAGACATAGACTGAGCCAGATCTCTACATAGATTTTACGTTAATCACGCTTTATTTCTCAACTTTTTCAAAGTCAAGCCAATTAACCAGCAAGTAAGATGACTAATTTGATCTATTCAAACGCATACACAAAATTGTCATGTCTGTTTTTGACTACCATATTCAACAATAAAGTTCAAGTTACGTTTCTGGCGTGATTTTTGCTTGTACTTAGTACCTCACTTTCAAACTAACCAAGCACGTGGGTACACGAAAGCCGTTCTGCGGATGCTCACGCAAACGTGGCTCAACATGGACAGCTCCATCCTTGTGACATGAGTTATGAAATTTTGTAACTTGTTCATACTTTTGAATGGTCAAACTTTTTAAAACTCAAAAAATCAGTGTGATCAATAAGGTAAAGGTTTCGCACTCTTCAATACTCTGCGGGCATGCTCTGGACGCATTCTTCGTAGTCGAAGAGGCAGGTGAATGCGTGCAGGCCTTTTACAATAACGGGTGCCAGCCGATCATCAAGTCAGTGCTTTTATCCTCCCAGATTACTCTGCTACCAATTTA